CACAATTAGAACTTGACACTTCGCTCTACCAAACAGCATAGCCTGATGCTTTGTGGCCAAAATTGTTTCTTCTTGCGCATCTGAGAATAGCCTGCTCTGATGAAACAGTTTTTTGCTACTTTCTGACGTACATCTCACTAAAATGAACCGTAGCTCACCACTGAGTGCCACGTAAAACTCCGTGGCTAATCCAAGGTGTTCCGTCGAATCTAATGCGGTGAGCACGGTGTACAAGCTCTTAGCAAACGGCCCGATTCCTTCCTGAAAACCGCAAAGTAGTTATATACTGGTAAATTGATAAATGGCTGATTCTTTAGACAATAAACGTTCGCTACATTGAATCGGCCTATCTTTCCACGATAATACGGCTACTTTTATGATCTGCACAGAGGAGCGTGTCACAATGCTCCGGGCAGTAAAGTTTATCTCATCATCCACGATCTAGGTTTTGCATACCTTGAGTAACTCTTGTCCATACGCAAACGCCGGAATGCGCGATTGCATTCACAATACCGGGAGGGGTTTTGTATCAATCACTTCATGTGGTATTTGTTCCTGGGAACGTGTCCGTAAGTTGCATCATTGTTTCAGTTGCTTAAATGAGTGAGAGAAGAGATGAATGAGACTGAATAGTCAGTCCTCGTTGTGTGTGTGTGAATCCGCGTTTTGTTTTATATGGGAAAAGCAAACAGACAGGTGTATGCAATTGTGCGGACCGAAACATGTGTGATATTGTTTGTTGAATTGGTTTAGAGGGAAGCGAAGATGTTCAGTCGTGCTTCGACGAGAACCACTAGTTGGTTCAAATGGGATTGATCACGCGTGTATGACAGCTGGGTAATTGGTAAATGGGCTTTTGGGGTCAGTATTCCAAGGGTGGTGTTCTTTTGTCCTTATTCAATGATGCACGAAATGCCTTCAAAAACTTCTTGTTGTTTGCACATGTTTCGGGAACTATAGCACTCAAAGTGGTTAAATTTGGTATGCTAATGATAAAACTTATTGCCACACTGAGAAAGCCAGAGGATTTGGCTTAGATTTTTCCACGCTAATTGATTCTTGAAAATTTAACCCTGAGAGCACGAGGTACTGTTAATTCCACTCTGAGTGATTTCGATAAAGCGCGCATGGTAGGTCGTTAGATAAGTTAGATGAGTAAGCCATGCCTAGAGTGTGTTAGATAATGTCTAGTTATACAATAGCGAACAATACTCACACACGATTTTATGATAATTCTGCGTTTCGTGACATTACCATCCAAGCGGTAACTTAATAAAGCTTCTAATCGACAAATGGGAAGCCGGTGTTCTGGGGCAATCAAAATTCAATTGGTTCGCCCAGGAATCATGTGCCCAACAGAATGCGAACTGCAACTGGTCAATAATGTTCAGCCAATGATATTCCCTTGTACATATCCTTTAATTGCTTTGCTTTCTTGTAATAACTAAACTCTGCGCTGGCGACCTTCTTACTGCGTCTGTGACTAAAGACCTCGGCATACAGTTTTACCAGTACGGTTTTTCATTTGGATTTCAATTGCGTTTGTGATTTCGATTCCTGAGTTCCGTCTAAAAATGGCACACCGCTCACGGTTAGCGAACAAGAAACATGGAAATTCGCTAATCTAGAAAGATCCATCCACCAGTGTTTGCAAGATTGCTAGAAAAATTCATCAAGCACCGTTCCTTATATTTCTTGCTAATTTAATTAACTCAAAGAAAAAAAACGGAATTCGACGAACAAGCTCTTTTTCCGGTCATGAAATAGCTCTAAATCACGTCAAAAGCGCATTGAAGTTACAACCACCATTGCACTTGGGTATGCGTATGTAGCGCGTACAGAAACCCGTAATTCACGAACGCGGAATCTGTACCGGGTTGCAGGGGTTAGAAGTCATATCACCTGGACTTCTGAACGGAATGGTGTGATGTTTAGCATTGGGTCTTGGTGTTCCCATGTTCTACTACCACAAACTGTGCAAGACTAAATTAAGCCTCAGCAATCCAGTGCAAAACAGGGGTGCTGTCATGATCTGAGATCTCATTAATGCGAATGTAAGGTCTCCCATTTCAAATCTTAAAAAATCGGGCGACTGAAGCTAACGTCAAATTCATGAACAATTTTCTTCTTCCCGAAATTTCAGAAAATTGATTAGGGTCTTCCAAAACTATAAAGCTTGATACAAACAGCCCACTTTACTGCACCGGAACACTGAGACCCCAAAATGTCTGCCCAGAATTGAAAACGTCCGAGGTCTGTCTGTTGATGAGGTGTAGTTGCGCTCAGGTAAAGTTATTCCCAGCTTTTACCCTTTTCAAGACAGTTCATGAGTGGAAGAATTTCGAAGTGTAAACAATTCGAAATGTGACTGGAAGTGTTCCTGATCTGTGCATCTTAGTCATGAATAGGGAAATTCAGTGGGTTCTGCAACCACTTGGATATTTTCATTATCTCCTTGAGCTGGAATAAAGAATGTTTTGCACCTCAAGCGACACATTTTCTAGAATAAGGCAGTTTCGCAAAGTCCTCATAAATGTTTGTTCGGTTTGACAATGCGGTATTGAGTTGCATCATCATCATGATCATACCATTTTTTGTTTCCCGAGTTGTTGCAGTAAAACAGGTTGAGATTGTTATGTTTTCACACACCAAACAACGGTCAGGTTCAGTTTGAGAAATGTGATCTATTTAGAGAACGATATTGTGATGAATTTCATACTTTGATTTGAGTTTAAAAAGTAACCTGAGGAGTAACAGATGGGGAAAAAGATAGTCTCGTACTTCCGGACAATGTTCTCCTGTCATTCATCAACCACGTTGTGTATCGTTGATAATAGCAACGTTGTGCATCCAGAAGTAGTCCAAAACCCTTTTCCGGTTCACTAGGGGGTGATGTGTACCGGAATTCACATTGTTCTAAGGAAATATTGTGGGTCTCTAAATGATAACCCGAAAAAAGCATGGGTACCGGAGATCCACCATGGGTTTTGGGCATAATGATTACACGCTCCATAGATTTGTGAGCGGCAATCATCGATAGACCAATGCGCAAACCGTTTCGATGCTTCTTGATAATTTTCATCAACCTATTCAGATACTGCTGCTTATCAACCTGTAAACTGTTGAATTCTTTTCGGTTATTCATTAGACATTTTCTCCTAAGCTATGTCCGTTTTGTTGACTGGATTGTGATCGCGAAGTAGAGTTTGACAACTGCTTATTCCCTCTCTTATCAATCTCCAGCATATTTACAAGATATCCTTGAGGAGCAAGGATATGAACATAGGAACCAACGAACAAAACGTCAGGATTTAAATCAATCGAGACCCAAAAAGAATAAATTTGTGAGGGGATTCAACCTAACATGACTGAAAATCAAGATCCTCCAAATCAAGTCAAGATCACTGATCCTGCAGTGGAATATTTTCGCCTATGCTACACGTGGGATCAATAGGTAACTCACCTGTGCACAAAATGTTGTTCCTCTAAGTATCGACAACCCTGTGCAATATCTCTCATTATCCCAATCAGTGCAGGCAAATCAAGTTGTGCAGTCAGAGTGATCACATTGGACGCGGTTGTTGTCCCACATCCGGCTGCCGTGCTGGTTGTGCTCGTATTCATCGAGGAGCCTTCCGATCCATTTCGACCGTCCCCGGCACCACTTGATCCGCCCGCGGCACAGATCGCGGCCGCCGCGAACATGTTTGCCGCGACGTTCGGTGCTATGCGAGGTCGCGCGCGATGTAAATAGTCTCTCAAATTGCCCTGATCCATCATTTCCAATACCAAACATTGTTGACCGGGAGAATCGAAAGAGACACCGAAAAATCGGACAATGTTTGCGTGCTGATAGCGATGCATTAGCGTTGCTTCACGTCGGAATTCGGCTTCCGTTAGTGATTTACTGTTGCGTACCTGGTTGAAAAATAAGTGATCAGACGGGGAAGGTAATGGGTACAATACGGCTTGTTATGTTGTTTACCGCCTAACCCAGCGTTGTTTTCACAACCGCCCGATTGTCAACACCCTCGGTGAAAGAACGCGTGTCTCCCATAAGCCAGATCTAACTGTATCTATCAATTCTAGTATGGGTCCCGGGTCATCTACTTCGGAAGGACAGAGAGAAAACTATGTAATCAAGCAACCGAGCACATCATGGCCTGAATTCAGAAAACAGTGGGTGAAAACTTCGGAAGGGTGATGCCACCGAGAGGACGCATAGGAAACTTAGTTGATCTATCACATGATATCTGGTCAGAGGCAGCGTCATTCCGAGAGAAGCCCTCGGAATCCTCCTCAGTACAAACGTCATCAAACGTCTCAAATATGCCGAAGCACTAACTATTCAAACTTATCATACATATATGAATAAACAGCGTGAATAGTTTATCACTATGGCATTACCTTAGTAACAACTGTGTTTGGTGAGTGACGGTGTTTATGTAAATGATGATCATGTATTGATAATCATACGGACTACATTGTATGCACGTGTACATGTGCAACGAAATGACCCAAAATGCATTGTGCAAAAACACGGGTTTCGTTTTCCGCATTCAAATTTGGTATGGAAACATTCCGAAGAAGATGAACAATTTTTTCGGTTCGCTGTTTTAGAATCGGGTGTGCGTCTGCTAATTCGACGTGTGTTTTTACCGGATGAACTACTCGTCAACTTCCACACTCCAATCACAGTTTTACGCCTACCGACCTGAACTGAATTTCATACAAAATTAAACAAAAAAGCCAGATTCCTTGAAAATTCTCCTCTCGAACGTCTCGTGTCACATCACACATCCTTGATTTCACAGCCTGTCATTTTCATGCCCGCCATACACCCAATGCATTTAATACCCTGATTTATGTCTCCCGGTTTTCGTTCGATCGATCCGGCACTTTGACTGCATGAGATTACTGACTGATCCTCGCCCCC